TGTTAAGGGAAGTAAGCCCAAAGGAGAGAAACAAATATCATACTGTATGATCTCACTTTTATGTGGAACTTGAAAAACCCAAACCCAAAAAACTGAAGCTCACAGATACCCAGAACATGCTGGTGGCTGCCAGAGACGGGGTCGGAGAAATGGGTGAAGGGGTTCAAAAGGTACTATTTCCAGTTAGAAGTAAGTCATGGAAATGTAATATTAAAACATTTTTAAAAATCCTGTTTGGAGTATCTACTGGATGTCAGGCACTGGTCTAGAAGTAGAAAAAAGCATTTTCTTTTTTCTTTTTTAAAGTATGCTCCATGCCCAAAGCAGAGTCCAAGGCAGGGCTCAAACTCATGACCCTGAGATCAGGACCTGAGCTGAGTCCAGGAGTCAGAGGCTTGACGGACTGAGCCATCCAGGTGCCCCTGAAAAAGGGATTTTAAAATGAAAATTCATTTCTCAAAATATTTTCAAGGAATATTTACTAGACACCTTTCTTTTTTTTCTTTCCTTCTCTTTCTTTCTTAGCATAAGGCAGTAGGTGAAGGAGAAAGACTAACTGACCTTATAGGATACCGAATTAGATGCATCGTGTTTTCTTTTTTTTTTTTTAATATATTTTTTTTTATTTATTTGACAGAGAGAGATCAAAAATAGGGAGAGAGGGAGGGGGGGGGGGGGGGGAAGCAGGCTCCCTGCTGAGCAGAGAGCCTGATGTGGGGCTTGATCCCAGGACCCTGAGATCATAACCCTGGCCGAAGGCAGAGGCTTAACCGACTGAGCCACCCAGGTGCCCCTGCATCGTGTTTTCTAAATGCAAAGTAGAACATGGGGTCTGGCAAATGTAATAAAAAGAGCGTTTAAAATCAGGGTGCTCCTGGGAAAGCAGTGCCTTGGCCATCTGTGGGAGCACATCACTCAGGAATTCTCAAGGAACAGTTAGGCAAAAGGACACTGAAGGACAAACAGAACCAAGGGGGACACCAGCCAGCTGGGGAGCTATTTAAGCCAGCTGGATGTCCTCACCATGGGGGGCGGGGAAACCCTCCCTTCCAGGTGAGGGCAGCAGACGGAGGGCCAGCAATCAGCAGCCCCAGGGGGAGTGATGACCGGATTTGCGGACACTCGAGATTCCCTTTGTTAACTGATGGCCTCTATTCCTGTCTGTGGGGGATCTCTCCCTGCATGGTCTTTCTAAGTCACAGGAGGGAAACCTCCCCACGGACTCTCAGCCTCCGAGTGGCCTCCGGCTCCAGCTGGCAGGACTGGGCAGGGTTTGAGTGGCTGCCTGGTCTGGTCGCCTCCTACTTTCTGGGCTTCTCTTCTCTTGGGGCTTTCCTCTTGCACTGCGGTGTAGCAGAGAGTGGGCGAGGAGAGAGTCCGGGGGGTCCGTGCCCACGGATGTTGCCCCAATGAAAGCTGGGACAGCAAGGTCTTCGGCTGCTTCCAACAACTTCCCAACAGCTCAGCCTGGGGCCCCGGAAGCGAAATTACCACCCATTTGAAAATCACTTTAATATTCTGGTATAAAGGGGCACCTAGGTGGCTCAGCGGGTTAAAGCCTCTGCCTTAGGCTCAGGTCATGATCCCAGGGTCCTGGGATCAAGCCCCGCATCAAGCTCTCCATCAGCAGGGAGCCTGCTCCCCTTCCTCTCTCTCTGCCTGCCTCTCTGCCTGCTTATGATCTCTGTCAAATACATAAATAACATCTTAAAAAATATTTTGGTATGAGGATGCTTTATTTGATATTATTCTATTATTCTATCAGGCTGGGGGCAGTCACAGATGGACTGCTTTCTAATCCTTTAGATGCCTGGATCTCACTGGCTGATGACTGACTGATGTCCGTTCTAGGTCAGGAGGCTTGGGGTTCCCAGGCGCAGCCGGGTCCGTGGCTCTGGTAGGTTACTGGCATGGTGCCCACAGAGGCTGACAGGAGTAGTCAGAGGAGACAGCCCAAGACATGGGTCTGGAAGCGGGGACCCCTGCGTTCTGTGCTCCTGAGCAACCCTGTCACCTTAGGCTTTTATTGCTCCCTCAGCAGGAAGAGGGGCTCAAGGTGTGGGCCCCAGACCAGCTGCACTGGCATCTCTTAGGGACTTGTTACCAAGGCCAATTCTCAGGCTCACCCCAGGCCCGCAGAGTCAGACACCCTGGGGCTGGAGCTCAGCTCTCTGTGTTTGAACCGCCCTCCAAGTGATTCTGATGCACCTAGAGTTTGAGAAGCCCCAGGCTGCAAGAATCCATTGTCCTTTGGGATAGAACCAGACCAAATTCAGAAAGTACCCAGATTTCCAAGTGGATATGAAACCACAGCAGGGAGGCAAACCTCATTGAGCCTCAAGGATAAGTTGGGCTCTTGTGTGGCTGGAGGAGGAGGACAGTGGGCAGATCAATCCAGACTCTAATCTCAGACTCTGGGCTTTGACGAGGGTTAGAAGTGTCTAGAGTACAAACACAGGGGTTGGTGCTGGCTCTGCCGTCCGCCACTCAGCAGAGGGCTGAGAGTGGCTATAACCCCAGGGGTCTGGGGCTTTGTAGGATACCCTCTTCAATACAAGACAGCAATGTTCTTTACAGTGCTCGCTGTAAACCTCAAGGCCTCAGAAGTAACGATCATTTGGCTCACTGTGCTGATGAAAACATGTTGAAGACTCTGAGGCAGGGAGGGGTATATGGTGAACCCCATGGTGACCTGGCAGAGGGAGATCTTATAAGCTTATATTGGTGGCTTCATTTGAGGAAAAGAATGCAATTATTACAATAGCCAAGGTATGGAGGCAATGTAAGGTCCGCTGATGGATGAATGGATAAAGATGATGTGGTGTATACACACGATGGAGTATTACTCAGCCACAAGAAAGAATGAGAGCCTGCCATTTCTGACAACATGGGTGGACTCGGGGGGTCCTATGCTAAACGAAGTAAGTCAGAAAAATGAATACCATATGATTTCACTTACATGTGAAATCTAAAAAACAAACGAACAAACAAAAAAGCAGAAACTGATCCAAAAATACAGAGAGCTGGTGGTCGCCAGAGGGGAGGGGGCGGGGAGAGGGGCAAAACAGGTGAAGGGGAGGGGGGGGGGGGTCCAGGCTTCCAGTGGTGAAATAAGTACATCCCAGGGCTGAAATGGACAGCACGTGGAATATAGTCGATGCCATGGTACTAGTGTCGCAGGGTGACAGATGGGAGCCACACCTGCGGGGAGCACAGCAGACCTCAGACCAATCACTACACTGTATGCCTGAAACTAACATTGTGTCACATTGTGTGTCATCTACACTTCAAGGTGAGAAAGCAAAGAATGCAAAACGCGTCATGTTCACAAAAATACATGGGCCCTCCCAAGGCCTCTGAACGGCATGCCCTGTGTGGGCCTCTGAGCTGAAGCTCCATGAGCCCCCCCCCCCACCCCGCCCCAGTAAACGGGCCTCCTACGCCAGGCAGGGCATATCCTTCCCTTCATCCTCTGGGCCCACATTTCCTCCTGGCTTTGACTGCACTCAGCCGGCCTAGAAGCCACCTAAACCGCTTCAGGCTCTCCTCCTCCACGGGCTCTCCTCCTCCTCCTCCCTGCTGCTGTGTGCAGTCAGTAGACGTGATTCTAGGAAAGACCCTGGGGACTGACGGGTTTTTATTCTTATGAAGACATAATCACTTTCCACTGCTCATGCTTGCTTGTTTATCTTTGGTGATATTTTCACTTCCATCCTTTTATAACTGTGGAAGTGCCAGGGGAAAAGAAAACGGAAAACTAGGAGAGAAACACAATACGGAAGGTGCAACAAAGGGGAAGTGTCGTGAGGGGTGGAAGAATCTAGACCAAGCCAAGGGAGGCAGGAGACGAGATCCGGGCAGGCAGGATGGCTCCGTGAATAAAGGTGCTATGGTTCTCATCCCGAATCTCATCACCAGGGGTGGAAGCGAGAGCAGTGGAGAAGGAAAGGCTTCGTGTGAAGGGCGGGGCCTCGGTGGGCTGCACGGGGCGGGGCCTCCCTAAGCACCACCCCCCATGGGGCGGGGTCATCAAAGACGGAGGGATGTTCCAACAGGTATAGAACAAAGGTGACACTACGGACATAATATTCAGAGGCAGCTCCTAGAATGCTAGAACAGGAAGGAATCTTAAGAAAAAAGAAGAAGAAGAAAGAACAAACACTCTGGAAGATGAGGTTGGACAAAGACTTCTTGCTTCCTTTTCATGGCGCTGAGGCAAGGGTATACTTTCTCCAAGAACAATCAGCCTTTGATGGTGTAGCCTGGGGACTGACCTGCATTAGTTACTTTCTAACATTTCCAAACAATGATGGCCTCCCTCCCTCTTCCTGGGGTCCTCAAACCTTGCCCTCCTTCCTCTCACTAAAGCGAAAGGCATCCCTATTCTGGACATCCGCCCCATCTGAATCCTCAGGACTCATCCATCCCTCGCACACCCATGACAGAATGACTTGCTGGGGGCTCTTACTGCTCTCCCTGCTACACCACATTTGGTGACCGCAAGACTCTCCGGGCAAAGGCCAAGAGTTTCTGTGCCTTCTAGGGTCCTGAAGAGTTCTCCTGAGAATACCATGCAGTGTTGCTCTGCATCAGGAGCCCGCCTCAGCCCCTCCTCCATCTAACTCTTCTTTAAGGACACACAAATGAACACACCCCACCCTGTCCTTGGACTTGACATTCCTGACCCTCACCCATCAGAAAGCTCTGGGGGGCGCCTGAGGAGAGGTACGGGGCCAACAGTCGTTCCCACACAGCAGGGTTCTGCTGCTTCTTATTCCCCTCCACCCTTTGGCACTTTTGGCAGTTTTCTCAGATGCCTATTTGGCTCAGAAACTTGGTCTCACAACCGGAGCCAGCTCCTGGCAAGCCTGCCAAGCTGTGCCCTCAGCGGCGGCCGCTCCCCAGTCTTCCCCGGAGCCACTGTGGGGTGGGAGTCATGTGTCGGCAACAGCATCTCCCACGTTCCCCACTCGGCGGCTCTCCAACAAGAGCTGGCTTACCTGACGACAGGAGGCTCCCGCTGCTGCCACTGATGATCTTCCCTTTGCTCCCCATGTTGGCCAGCTTGGAGGTCTTCAGCGTGCCTGTCTCGGTGAGGTCAATAGCGATCTCGCTCAGGCTCCGTGCGGCATGGATTTTAGACTAGAGTGGAAAAGACAGCCGGGTTACAAAGAGGTGTTCACCTGGGAGACAGAAAGGTTATCACTCGTGGGCTTGTCTTCCTGAGATTTAGCAAATGGACTAACGGCCTGGCTTGTAGCATTTTTAGGTGTGTGTTCCCGGACCCCATCCCTCATACTGAAACTCTCTGCAGGGCCTGTGGCTCTAGAGTGTAGACACTGATGCGTTTTCCAAGCTATTCTACAGGCTCTGCTGTGCCGAGAACAGGGGCTTTGGTGGCAGATGGACCGCATCAGAGTCCTGGTTTGGGGAAAGTCCCTTGATCTCACTGAGCCTCATTATTCCCAACTATAAAATGGGAAAAAACCACTACCTACCACTGAAGGTTCTGTTAGGGTCAAAGGAAGTCAGGCTTCGGAAGGGCTCCCCTATGCCGCCCCCCTTCTAGGACACAGCTCTCAATAAATAGCAATGATCATAGTTTATGTTTAAAGGAGAAAAAAAAATTTTCAGCTTTATGAATGACAGAAGATGTATGTGAAACAGATTTGTGAAGTTCCAGTATATTCTGAGGGGATTTCAACTCCTTACAGTGTTAGCCACATGGCCATGAAATGTTCAGAGGGCTGGCAAGTGATCCTGCTCCAGACGTACGAGGAACATGTCTACAGTGTAGAAGCTGCTGGAACAACTGCTCCCATGGACACTCAGGTCCCGCCAATAAGTGACCGACACCATGCTCTGCTTCTATTTTGATACCTAACTGTGCTCTCCAAAGTCTTCAGATTCTACTTAAAGCTCCACTCCATTTATCCTGCTTATTAATTGGCCTGCCTTGGCTAAGAATAACATCGGGCTGGATTAATTAGAAAAGTCCTCTGTTACCACAATCATATTCCTAAAAGTGTTAGTTTTTCACAAAGCTACCTTTTTAGTTACTTGCCCTCGGTAGATGAAAATGGGTTTGCATTTCCTACACCTGTTTGATGTTTGATGTTTGGGTTTTTTTTCCTCCCTTTAAGAAATCAATTTTTGTGATCGTGCTTAAGGCAATAGGCTTTCCCCACAGCATGAACTTAATGAAAACCACCGTAAATGCTAGTACCACCCATACATTTGCTGAGGGGTCTTTCCGTGGCCACTGGCTATAGCCCGAATACCGATGGAACCAGGTGACGTCCAAAACTGAGGTTTTCAGTCCCTTCATGTGTGTTCATCCAACCATCCCCCACCACAGCCCTGTGTGTGAGACCAAGTCTGTCCCCCACACAGGAGAAGCCAGCAAAGGGCAGATATGGGGGGCATGGCATGGTGGGTAGATGCAGCCCATTCTTCCTTACTGACGTCCTCTGCCCAGGTGCCCTGTGCTGCCCAGCAGAGAGGCTCTCTGAACCCCCATGGCTTTGCCCTTCCTCTGGTCTCCACACTGACACTGATGAAGGATCAGGTCTTCCGACAGCTGAGCACTTTCTTGTTGTTGTAAGAGCGTCTGAGGGACTGAGGAAACATGCAATGTTTTTGCTTGTTTTGTTCTCCGGGTATGCATGTCATCCCATTGGTCCTTCCTTGACTGATGTCTCCTTTCTGACCTTGACTCTGAATGTCCCTGCACTCAGATCCAGGTCACTTTCCTCAGGTCAGGGGCCTACTTGCTCAGGATATAAGCCGGGCCACCAGGGACCCTGCAGTGCTCTGGCTGGGGGTGGCGGGGGGGGGGGGGGGGGGGGGCGGTGCAGGAAGAAGCAGGAAGTGCCTTTCATTTCGCAAATAAAGCACAGGACCACGGGCCCAGCTGGTTGAGCTTCACCCTCTGAGCAAGCAGAGGGAGCACACCCATTCCTTTCTGTAGCACTCCTCTTCACCAACGCCCACACTTGAATAAAAGGAGCTGTCGCTTGTAGCTACTTAATGACTCATGGAGACAGAGAACAACTCAGTGTGGCGGGGAGGCGTCCAGGCTTTGAAGTCAGAAAGATCTGGACTGGAATCTTGGCTCTGGCCAGTTCACCACTGTTTGGCCATGACCTTCAGCCTGTCTGATACTCAGATGCCTGTCTGTAAAATGGGAGCTCTTAAAACTCACATGGCAGAGTTGTGGTAAGGACTAAATTAGATAATACATGGAAAAGCTACTGGAATTGAACTAGGAAAAGATCCAAATCAGGGCCTGGAAGTAATTTGCTAAAATGAGGTGAGATTGATGGCTCAACCTGGGGGCTCTCCCTAATCACATGGAAGACATGCCCCTCCCCCCACAACCTTCACTCCCACCACGGATGGATCTGAGAGGCAAAAACCCAAATATGGAAAAGGGACCAAGAGATACCCTTCCCAAGAGAGACTGGATTCTTAGAAGCTTTAGGAAATTACTAGCTTCTCTCCAAATGGAAATAAGACAATGACCCAAAAGACCCAGTGCAAAGAGCAATGCTAAGAGGAGTGAGTACAGACGGGGAGAGTCAAGCCTTTGGGACAACCTAAAAGACCCTCCAACATTCTGAGCTCTGTGTTTTGAGGGGCTTGCCCTACTGAGTTTTAATACTGTCACCCGATTGCGCTGTTCCCTACCATGCTGTCACTCTGGCTCTCATCTAGGTGGAATGAGGAAGATGGATAAGGAAAAAAAAAAAAGAAAGAAACTATTGAGAAGAAGGAAAGATGTCTGGACTGGAGGCCAACTTGAGAAGTCCCCACTCTGAGTTCAGAAGAGAGGCATCTAAGGTTTACTCTCCACAATTCCAGCTTTCAAATATTTTCCCCCCAAGTCAACAAGACAGTCCTCGGCTCTGGGCTTCAGAGGTTGCTAGGATGCTTGGGGTCAGGAAATACAAGTTGCCAGTTGTAACTGGTGCCTGTACAGCCCCCTTCATTCTGCAAGAGCCACAGGAAACCAACCAATGGGGGCTCTTTCCATTCTGTCTTTGGTGATGGAAGGTGTGGTATGTGTGTGTGTGTCTGTATGTGTGAATGAGAGGGAGAAAGAGAGAGAGAGACTGAGAGCTGTTCTTACAGGATTTGGACAAGGTTCCTGAAAGAGGAAAATGCCTGAGTACCAGGGAAGAACCCGAGACTGCTCGGCCTCCCCACCCCCGCTGACTCAGACCACTAGACCGCACTTGTCTCTGGGGCTGATAAGCATCACTTGGGAGGCCCGGGCCCTGCCGAAGCACTTCAGAGAACGGAATGGCTGGCATGGCCCGGGGCAGCGGGGTGTGAAGCAACGGCCCATATGCCAGCCAGCACCGGTTGCTCAGAAATATTTTGCAGCTCGTCCCAGGCCTGTCGGCCATCACTCAGCAGAGGTCATTCTGCCCACCAGAGATGGATCACATCACCTTTGTACAGAGAACGACATTCCAGAAGCGAAAGGTGTTGTAACGTACTTCCTAAGGGGAATTTTCTCCTCTCTGACTTCATTTGGGAAGCTTTAACCTTTACGCAAGAACTTAACCTTTACGCAAGTGTTGGCCAGGGAACAGTATGGTGGATGGATGCTGATAATAAAAGACAGCACATATCTCAAGCGATTTCACACACACTATGTCATCGGGCCAGTCAATAATTTCTGCATTTCCTTTCTTGTTCTCTAATTGGGGAAGCTAAGCAGGAGCAACGGAGACTTGCCTAGGCTCACAGAACTGGAAACAGAGTCCCTGGGCTTCCATGTGGGACAGTTTGTTCCCCCTTGCCACTGTGGATTGCAGAATGTGTTCTCACGAGAAACGCAAGGGCTCTGGAGTGTCTGAGCATTCAGAGCTTACTGGGGGAAAATTCTCCTGCTTCTGGGTGTATATTTCCTTCGGTCCCCCAGGGGTCACTGAGAAGGACAGCTGAAATTTCCCTATTGCTATGGGCACATGTTTGGCCTTTTAAAAGGCACTTCCTGTTAATAAATGATCTTTGATAATTACTTTTTGAAGTTGATCAGAGGGCTATTCTCTAAGCCTGGTTGGTAAGGCTTCTTCAACTGCAGAGTAAAACCATCTTCAAAAATGGGGAAGAAAGAAGGCCTTGTTAATGGGCCTCTTGTGTTACCCAAGAGACCCTCAGTGCAAAGAACAAGTCTGGCAGTGGAAGCGGAAGATCTCAAACCACTAATGCATTAAGCTAAGGGTGAGATACACTTTGTCTTCTCCTTTCAAAATTGTGCTAACAGTGTGTGGGGGGTCTGCCCACAGGAGGAACTGGCAGTGGGGTTCAGGAGGGCTGCCAAGGTCTCTACCCCTTACCACCCATTCCCAAACAATGCAGAGGTTGGAGTCCGCATTTTAAGGTTTGGACCTCCAGCGACCCGAGGGCAAAATGCTGACACCCACCCACCGTCTCAATCTAAAGCATGAGTCAAAACGCTTTGGCCCTGTTTCTTTTGATCTAATCAGGCTTCAAATCCCTGTGCCAATGTCCATCATCACCAGGAAAGCTGTGGAATGCTCCCATTATGCCTAACAACAGCCCACCCCCCCACTCTGTGCCCATTCACCCCAGAAAATGACCAAAAAAGGGGTCAGGAAGAAGACTTAGCAGAGGAGAAAAACGTGTTACAAAGAAGAAAGTGACAGCTACACAGGAAGGGCTCGGATTTGAAACTGAATTATGAGTTGAGAGATTGTTTCCTTTTCTCCTATTTTCATACTATCTTTCTCCTTCCTCCCACTAGATGCCAAGGTCTCTTCTTCCCTCCACTTCCCAAGCCAGGGAAAGAGCAACTCCATCCGGACAGAAAATAAGGCAGAAGAAGAAGTCGTAAGTATCCAAGAGGGGACAGATCTGATGAATCTCAGGCCCAGTCAAGCCAGGGTCCGGCCACCTTCTCACCTCCGGAGAGCCCACATGATGGGACAAAATCTCCCAGGGGCCAATGCCAGCTCCCTCCATAACTCTGCAACCCCTCCTCCCCAAGCCAGCAGGATCCTGGGAAAGGGGCAAGACCCATCCCGATGGGGCTCTTCAGCAGAGAGCTCTCGAAGGAGAACAGCTCGTAGGGGGAAGGCAAGGCAGCACGGCAGACAGGGGCTGGAGGAAGAGGGGGCCGAGTGTTGACAGAAGCCCTGTGTGAACCAAGGAGACGTCATTCTCCCACCTGCCGGGAAATGCACCTGTGTGTCTGCACAGGGGCTGGGTCAGATCTCCCTTGGAGGATGACTGTTTACCAAGGCCTGAGGCTCTAGGCCTACCTTAGGGAAGCAGGGCTGGGTGGTGCTGGTGCTGTTTTGTTTTGTTTTAAATGTTTCCAGTTCTGACTTAAAAAAAAAAAAAAAAAAAAATGGAGGTGGCAGTTGGAAAAGCCTGAAGCACTTTCACAGCAATTATCCTAAACAGTTAGATGGTGTCTATTAATTGCAAACGGTTGCTTTTTTTTTTCCCCCTCTCAAAAAGAAAACAATACGCCACTGTTTAAACACCATAAAGGGCTTGACGGCTTGTTCCCGGGAGAAGTTCCTGAGGTTCAGAAGCACACTCTGAATTCCTCAAAAGGGCCCTACCTGGCTACAGGAAATGGTTCAAGAGGCTGCAACCATGGCTGGGCCCAAGCCCCCTAATCAAGGCGCGTGGAACGTGCCCCCGGGAAGAGCTGTCTCCTTCCTCCCGCCCATAACTGAAAGGCAAGTCCAAACCTGCACACGTCTCAGGGCGAGGGACACAAGGCCAGCCCCACCCACCTAATTCCCAATCCCTCAACTAGGAAACACGGGCCCTAGGGTGCCCTCCGGCAGGCCAGCGGTGTGATAAAAGGGCTAGTCATTACGGAGTCCCTCCCAGTCCCTGGAGAAGGACTTACCTTACTCTGCTTTCTGTCCAGATAGAACTGGTGTTGGCTAATGGCCATAGCCCAGATGGACTTGATCAAAGCTGGACATGCGTACCACGTATGCACCGCAATGCCACTGTGTCCAAACGTCCTCCTCGTCACTGAAGCCCTGGGACGGCAAGAATCACAAGGTTCAACCATGTCGATGATGCAGGACTCCAGGGACCAGTTGACAGCTTTTACTGATAACCCAAGGGATCTAAAAGCCCTTGCATAAATGGACAGAGGAGCGTACACACACGCAAATACGCAAATACACACACACACACACACACACACACACACACACTTAGGGAAACTAGCTGGAAAAGGCTATCTCTTTAATTGTTTAATAAAAATTGCATTTTAACCATTCATCAGTCAATGGACATTTGGGCTCTTTCCACAATTTGGCTCTTGTGGACACTGCTGCTATAAACATTGGGGTACATGGGTCCCTTCAAATCAGCATTTTTGTGTCCTTGGGATAAGTAGCTAGCAGTGCATTTGCTGGATCACAGGGTAGATCTATTTTTAGCTTTTTAAGGAACCTCCATACTATTCCAGAGTGGCTGTACCAGTTTTCATTCCCACCAACAGTATAAGAGGGTTCCCCTTTCTCCATATCCTCACCAATACCTATGTTTCCGGAGTTGTTAATTTTAGGTATCCTGACAGGTGTGATGTAATATCTCATTGTGGTTCTGATTTACATTTCACTGATGAGCGATGGGGAGCATCTTTTCATGTGTCCGTTGGCCATCTGGATGTCTGCTTTGGAAAAGTGTCTATTCATGTCTTCTGCCCATTTCTTAACTGGATTATTTGGTTATATTTCCTTATATATTTCAGAAACTAACCCTTTATCTAATATGTTGTTTGCAAATATATTCTCCCATTCCTTCAGTTGCCTTTCACTTTTGTTGATTATTTCCTTCACTGCGCTTTAGTTTTTTATTTTGATGAGGTTCCAATAGTTCCTTTTTGCTTTTCTCTTGGCTCCTTATATAATGGAGAATTGCTTGGTGATTTAAAAAAAAAGAAATCTTGCCATTTGCAACAGTGCGGATGGAACTAGAGTGTGTTATGCTAAGTGAGGTAAGTCAGAGAAAGACAAATATCATATGACTTCACTCAATGTGGAATTTAAGAAACAAAACAGATGAAGAGAGGGGAAGGGAGGGAAAAATAAGATAAAACAGAGAGGGAAGCAATCCATTAAGAGGCTCTGAGAGTAGAGAACAATCGGAGGGTTGCTGGAAGGGAGCTGGGTGAGAGGGCTATAAGGGTGATGGGCATTAAGGAGGGCTCTTGGGATAAACCCCGGGTGTTGCGTGTGGGTCATAAAATCACTGGATTCTGCTCCTGAAACCAGTGCTGCGCTCAATGCTAGCTCGAATTTAAACTGAAAAAATTCTATTTCGGGTGTATGAGAGGATTTGATACACATACACATAGTGAAATGATTATTACTCTCAAGGTAATGAACATAGATCATGACTTCATTTATCTGTCTCCAGAGCCCCTGAGATCTACTCTTTGTTCATTTCCAGGATTCAGTACAGCATCATTAACTACAGTCCCCATGCTGTAGCTTAGCTCCGTGGGCTTATTCATCCTGCATAACCACAACTTTGTACGTCTGACCAACATCCCCTCGTTTCCGCTCTTCCCAGGTCCAGGTAACCACCCTTCTACTCTCCGCTTCTACATATTTGATTTTTGAGAGTCTACATATGCATGAGATCATGCGGTTCTTTTTTTTTTTTTCCCCCGTGTCTGGCTTATTTCACTTCACATAATGTCATCCATGTTATTCCACATGGCTGCCAAAGGCAGGATGGCCTCCTTTCTTATGGGTGAATAATACTCCATTGTCTATACACACATCACCATGTCTTTATCTGCTCATCCCTCCATGAACACTCAGGTTGTTTCCATATTTTGGCTATCATGAATAATGCTATTCTTTTTATTTACTGGCTCCTTAGGGTTCAGAATTTGTCCAAGCCTTTGTCTTGTCTGGGATAAGATGGGTCATTCAAGGTCACTGGACAGTCCTTTCTGAGCTTTAGCTCCTGGCACTGGGCCAAGACAAACTTCAGAAACAGGAAAAGCCTTTGACAATGTCCTTTATTAAGCAGGCAATACTGCCTATGGTGAAGGATAAGTAAATTCTGTTCTAATCACCAAGGCCACAGCCTGTGGGACATCCCGAGGGAGTCTGGACTTCTCACACTGCTCTAACTCAGTGTTCCTTGAAAGAGCTGGTTATCAATTTCAAATTCAGTCAGCTGGCAGGCTGGGTATAAAGAGAGAGCGATGGTAGAAAGCAGTGTAGCCCATCTTCCACATTATCCCACCAACACACACATATTTATGGAGCAGGTAAGGCATAAATCTGGGGTACACAGAGGCAATCAGATGGTAACAAGTGGGAAATGTGGGTCCCAACATAATTTGCCACATCCATGGTGTTGGGGGAAAAAATAGTGACAGGATCATGCTTTCTGCAAATGAAATTGGAGAATGCGTTTGCATGCGTGCGTGTGTGTGTGCGTGCACACACACTCACATGCGCACGGGGCAAGGTGCTGGGGTGGGGCCTGGGTATCCGATGTGAACATCAGGAGAGAAGAGTGTTCTCAGGTTTAAGATATCTAATTTATTTATTTTTTACTTTATTTATTTGTTTGACAGAGAAAGATCACAAGTAGGCAGAGAGGCAGGCAGAGAGAGAGAGGGGGAAGCAGGCTCCCCGCTGAGCAGAGAGCCCGATGTGGGGCTCGATCCCAGGACCCTGAGATCATGACCTGAGCCGAAAGCAGAGGCTCAACCCACTGAGCCACCCAGGTGCCCCTAAGATATCTAATTTAGAAGAAACTCTCAAATAATCGTTTTTTTAATGACACATTTTCCCTGGAAGAAAATCTAGAGCTGTTCCCATGATTTTATCTTGGTGGCTAAAGACCAAAAAGAGGGTCTTCTTCAGACCCACTTTTAGGGAAAAACTCAAATCTGGTGGCTCATTACTGCTACTGATTCTAGGCACAGTAATTCCTCACTTGAGTTAAAAGTCAGGAGAAAACGCCAGCTCTGAGAGAGAACACAGTTGAAGATAATGGGGAAGGAGCCAGCAAGAGTCAGGAGCAGCAGCCCCACAGGTCTTTGGACAAGTAAAAAGAAACTGATCAGAGCTCCCACATTGGCTTCTACACCCATGGCAGCTCCTGGGAGGAAGTGTTATCTTTTCTCCCTGAAAAGCAGAATTAGAAAGGAAAGTAAGGAGTGCCTGGGTGGCTCAGCAGGTTAAAGCCTCTTACTTGTCAGGTCATGATCCCAGGGTCCTGGGATGGAGCCCCGCATGGGGTTCCCTGCTCAGGAGGGAGCCTGTTTCCTGCCTCTCTGCCTACCTGTGATCTCTGTTAAATAAATAAATAAAATCCTTTAAAAAAATAAAAGAAATGGAAAGTAACTGGGAGTGTGTCTGAGTGAGAGCATGAGTGGGTAGAGGCCAGGTGCTTGGCCTGTAAGGAAGGCAAGGGAGGAAGGGTTCAGGGGCTGGCCAGGTCTGGAAGGTTCTGCTGGAAACCATACCAGACACTGAGTCTTCTCCTGCTCCATTAGTAATTTATCTCTTCTCCACATCTTTCCCTTCAGGCTCTTCCCAGCCCACCAACTTCTGTTTTGCCTAAACCTTAGAAACGGAGGATTTGCCAAGCCCAGGGAACCACAGAATCCATGTGGGTATCGAGTTAAGGGGTCTAAGGTTACCTTCTATGGTCCCACCTGGGACCCGTGATCAAGGACGCACCCTCTGCCTGGGCTGATGCCCCGTCCCTACCGTGTCCCATCGGTGGCCCCTTTAGGACTGGATCCTGTTCCGTACTTGCTCTCCCATCACTCTGGTTCAGACCCCCTTTCCTGGCTGGGACCACCCCAACGTAGAGTCAACCAGACTCGTCTTCCCTGCTCCAAACAAACCTGGCAACAGCCGTGGGCATGGTGGTTACTGGAAGGAGCACCCTGCGGCCGTGGGAAGAGCACTTGCTTGCCGCCGCAGGAGGGGAAACTCTCAGGGCAGAGCAGAGGCACTGTGCCAGCAGCAACCCGGTGCACACACGGAGAAGCCGTCTTTAAAGCATCAGGGCAGACACCGTCCTGGCCTCCCTCCCTGCCCGCCCTGCCTCTAGGCTGACAGAGGGCTGTTTTCCTGGGGGAGAGGTGATCACACTCCGTGCGTTGCCAGCCTCCGGCACCTCCCTCCTCTCTTCTGACACCACCCAATGAAGCCTTCATCCCCCCCAAGGGCCGACCTTCAGCTTGCAATCCTAGTCATGCTTTGGGGTTCGGCTCAGAATCTCTCCTCCTCAGGAACTGCCCCGACCAGTCCGGCTGCTGGCCACCTTCAGTATTTATGGCCCGTGCCACCCGGCCCCACACTCGGGCCCCAGTGTGTTGTGCTGAACACAGCAGGGATGCCGGTGGTTTGTGGAGCCAGGCTCCCTGGGTTGAAATTCTTCTTGGACCACTTGGCCAGCTTTTTACAACCTAGAGCAGGTGACTTTGGTTCTTGTGTGCCTCAGTTTCCCCACATGTAGAACAGGAAGCTAGCAGTACCTCCTTCTTGTCCTGAGGCACAGCCCCTTAGATGACCCAGTCCCCGGGTTTCATCCTGTCAGGCAACCCCTTTCTAGCTCTGACTCACTGGGCATCTCACTCTTGTCACAAAGAACTTTTCCCTCCCCTTGCGCTTCTGAGACTGGTCTGGTTCAGTTTGCAGTTTGCCTGCAAAAGCCTGGCTGGAGTATTACTCTCAGCGTCTGTCTCACCCCCACAGGACTCTGCACAGATGGCTTCCTGCTCTGCGAGGCAGCCTCTCCAGCCCGAGACACCCCCAAGGACCCCAAGAAATGCTGCACAAGTCGTTCCTCTGCTAATGTCGCCGCCTTCATCTGATTGTGCAGACTGGATCTCCACCACGTTCTGCACCTGCTGGCTGTGTGGGAACCGAGGGGCGTGGGCTGAGCCTTCCCCCTCCGCGGAGTGACTGTGTCACACAGATTACAATGGCAGGGCAGGGTGGCCTGTCAGCTCTGCTGGGTTATCGCTGGTGGCAGGAGCAGAGACACTGCCCCAGCTCAGCCCTCTGACTGGGGGGCCAGCATCCTGTTCTGAGAGCTCTCTGGGAGGCAAAGAGGCTTGTTTGGGCTGCTCAGAGGCCATGTGTGAGGGCGGCTGAGGCCACCTTCTCTTTGGCAGGCCAAGGCTGGGGCATCCATGGTACCTAAATGTCCTGTTGGCTCCTCCATAGAGTCTGACTTTTCACCATCTTCCTAGGACTACTTCCTAGTAAATCCTCTCTGGACCTCCTGAAAGCAATTTATCCTTAGGTGTCAGGCCCGTTGTCAGGGGATTTTGCTGCTGTTTCTGAGCTGCCTCTAAGTCCAGGACTGCCGGCAGACAAAGAGAGGAAAAGCAGCCAGTATGTGCCGCCGAGAACCTTCCACGCAGGGCTTGCTGCATTCCAAACTGGGACCCTATTGTTTGGCATCTGACTTAGCACAGCTTTTTACGCGAGTGCTCCCTGCGACACAATGTGAGGTGGGGAGAAAAAGAACTCTCTCGCTTTCAACACCCACCCACAACACTAACCCCCGAAAATCACAGCTCAGGGAACCAAACAAGCTCACACTTTAGGTATAGCTTCCTTTCCATGCCAACTGTTCTCCCTGAAACATTCTCAGAAGCTCTGACAAGCTGTCCTTCAGACTCTCCTCTGGCACAGGCTCCCAAAAAGGACTCAGGCCACCACCCGCTCAAGTGCCATCCATCCACCCTAAAACGTCCCGGCATGCCAAGACACCACACACGAACACCGAACACGTGTAGCTTGAGGAGATGATCTCAGAATTGCCAATTCCTCTCATGCACACAGGCGTGCAAGCGCACGTGCACACACACACACATACTCCCGCGCACATGCAAAGCACACTTGGACCCACAGCATCTATCGACATATTTAGTACAAAACAAAGCTTCACAGTCAGATTGGAGGGCACTCCCCATGGGCAACCGCCCTCTCCCCGCTCTCCGTTCCCCAAGATGAACAATGACAGCATGAAAATAATAATACAAATAACATGCCAGCTGGGCCACACACTCCCAGCAGAAAAGCACTTTCCTGGCTTACCTGCGGGGGTCATGAACTTCCACGGAAAACTTCTTCTCTCTGAAATACAGGTTTTCCAACTGCCTCCATTGGAATATCTGGACAGAAAACAATGCGGTTTACGTTCAGGAGTGCTTGGCTCAGGGCTCTCCTCCTCGCTTTGCTGCTTAACTTCTACAGCTGGCAGCTTCCTTATCAAAGCAGAGACCGCACAGTTGTTTGCAAGTCCTCCGCCTCTTGGTGCAGACACACACACACACACACACACACACACACACACACACACACACACTGCTGCTCTCCAATTCAAAACCCGGCAACGTGGGTGTGGATTTTCCTGCAGGTTTCTTAACGGGAACAAAACAAGTTCTTTGCAAGTTGTTCCCCTCTGCTTTGCCTTTGTTGCTTTACCCAAGACCGTGCCCAGCTCCGCGGACTTTTCCCTCCAAAGACCGGGCGAGCGGGGGCAAGCGGGGGCGCTGGCAGGGCGAGCTGCGGAGCGGGGAGCAGGGGCGCGCTCAGAGGGGAGCGGGAGCCATCTGCGCGCAGCGCTGAACTGAGCTTCCTCCCTCCAGTGCTGAAATGGGAAGGCGGTCAAATTCCCAGCCTCCCATCGGGACTCCACTTCCTGCCCACTAATGTGTAAGAGCTTGGACTCGCCCAGGCGATCTGGCTCGGGAAGCTTCCCCGAGAAGGGTGGGGGCTGCTGGAACCTTATTTCGGGGCAGGCAACTCGAGATATCAATATGAGCTTGTCAAGCCCCTGCTTCTTTCCGCAGCACAGAGCAAATCCAGAGTCCGGCAGCGGGCGGGACGCTGCCGCCAGGGGCTGGCTGCCATCAGAGAGGGGGAGGTCGAAATGAGGCCGTTTTGCGAAGTGGGAGGGAGCGAGTTCCTCCCACTGCCCAATGCGTGCCCTCGGGGTTCTGGTGGGCACTCCTCCTTGCACGAGGGAGCCTGTTAACAAGAAACTGCAGGGTCTGGGAGTGATTAGAGCAGCAGTTCCGAGAGGGGGGTGGGGTCCTTTCATCGGAAGAAAAAGAAAGTTAATTAACCCTCTGGAAAATGTCAAAAGAGGTTAAAGTTATGTGCATACACATTTGTATTTCTATTCTTTATGCTTCTGTTTGATGCATTCCGCAGCTCCTTCTAAGCACCTAGAATTTGAGTTGATTTTGCCCAAAGTAGGGTAAAACGGGAATCCTGTGCTTCCTCCTCATCTTGGGAGCCGCGGATGCCTCCCTGGGGTCTTCTCTTATGCACTGCATTGAGGCATGTGCTTTTTAGGGTCTCCTCCTAGCCTCCCCCACAACCCAGTCCTCTCGGCTGGGGCTCCTGACACTCCCTGACCTACTCCCATATTTGCCTCCTAGAGATGGGATAGTGATTTCCCTGTGCCCTGTCAACCCTCCCCTTCCAGACCCAGACACGCCCACTAGTCAGGTCTTGGCCAAAGGACTCCACCCCTTCGTGGAACTGGGCTGGAAGAAAACCTGCTCCAAGAACGGCCGCATTCTTTTCTTTTCACGACCTGCTCTGCAGCACGTGACAATTATTCTGTCTGCGTAATAGGAAGGAGGTCATCTACTCTTACGACTCTTTGGTCCACAGTTCAAAGACCATTTTGCTCTGAAGCCCAAGGAAAACTGTACTTCTCTTTTTCCTTTAGTGCTGATCCCAAGCAAGCGGGTAGAGAGACATTCTCAAAGCAAGCAAGGGACCCAAAGCCCTACCTTGGCTCAGACAGCTGTGTGTGAGGTCACGGATGAAAGTTCACCTGAGCAGAGTCCATTACTCAAGTCACAGATCTGAGTCTCATGCTCCTGTTGGATGCTCTGCTAAGCTCAATCCCTCAATGAAATACCTTAAGTTCCTCTCTGACCAACCCCCTTCCCCGCTGTTAGATATTTATAGACATTCCACCTGAACTTTGCCAGACACAAAAACGCCCAATCTAACAGACCCCAGACACTGACCTCCTAGACCGGAGGTAGTAAGTCTACTGGATGCAGTGGCCAGGCACGCACGCCCTGGGGTCCGACTGCATCTGGGTGAATGCAGGGTCCCTGGATCCACGTTGTTTGACCTTAGGCAAGCGACAGCATCTCCTCCAGCCTGTTTCCCCATCTATAAAAGGGCAATAACACCCTTCTAAGGTAGAAGCAACAGATCCTCAACATGCTATCAGCACAAAGGAAGCGCTCCAAGAACTTAGATCTTAGTGTGATCCCTAATTGTTCTTACCAAATCCTGGCAAATAACAGAAACACCAAAATAATTTTTTTCTTAAATTTCCGAACTCAAGAGCTGACATCAGGGTTTAAGAAAAAGAAAATGTGATTATTCGCATGCTGGAAATCCTCGACTGAAGTGTGTAGAATTACTCCCCTGACCCCTTCCCCCATCCCTCTCTGAAAAATGCTGTGGATGGCAGCTGGCTATCCTCTCAGCGGGACCCTCAGCCCCGCACCGCACCCATCTTGGCTATGACCGGCCTCACGGGTGTGTGCCATGTGCTCAGCAGAGCCCCGCACTTGGTTTGGTGTTTTGCTGTTTCCCTCCCACTAAGTTTTGATCAAGTAGCCCCACAAATTCTATCATTGGTCCCAGTCTTTGGTCCTGGCTGGTGCTCAGGTCACAGGCTCGGTGCCCGGCTGGGCCGCACTTAGGGTCAGGTGCCTTCTCTGAATTTGATGGGTGGACCTCCAGGGCTTTCTCCTCCTGATCACAAGGAAAGAAAACAAACCTGGCACTTTGGAACACCTCACCTGGGCTTTTGTGTGAAGCCCTTCCCGCCGGGTGGAGGACCTGAGCAAGGAGAGCCCTGGCTCAGAGGGCTTGGCTCCCCGGTACCTCCTCCGTCCTGCTCCTCGAAAAGCGGAAGGCAAGCCGAGCCTCAGCTGTGGTCCCTGGCGGCCTGGTTCCTAGCATCTCTCTAGGAGGCTCTGTGCTTGTAGACATTTTCTAATAAGGGACAGGGCACGGGCTCTCCTTCAGGTGTGCTCTAAGCAGGGAGCTCGTCTGCAAATCAAACACTGGGAAGGGAGGGTGAGAGTAAGGTGAATGAACGGACAGTTTTTTAGGACAGAATTCCACTGGGGCATTAGCAGGGTCCCAGAACAGAAGAAGAGGAGGTGCTCATGGGGGAACACAAGCCTGATCCTTTTCGCCTCACGCAGGGGGTACTGGGAAGGCTGGGGGCCCCGGGTACAAAGGCAGCTCACATCTCTGCACCTCCCCCGACCTCCCTGAGCATGCAGGCAGCTGCTAGCCACTAGGGCCTTCACCCCTTGCTGGAAAGGCACAGTCCCTTCCTAGAGGGCTAGGCTCTTCTGTCCCCAGGCCCCTGTGCCCCAGAGCTCAGAGGCCCAGCCTGCTCCAGAGAGTTCTCCACTCTGCAGCTGACAGTTCAAGCAGAGAGCAAACAGAAGCTTCTCGAGCTTGCCTCCTCTCTGTTAACAGGGTCCACGGGGTGCCGTTGTGCTGGTTTTGGAGGCGGCCCCAGATCATCCATGTCATTTCAGAGAGCCTCGCTGGCTTGCTGCGGCTGTCCTAACCCAGCTCCCAGCTAGAGCCATCAACGAGCTTTGTGAGTCCACACAAAGACGCACACACAGAGACGATCATCACCGCCCGGCTATTCCCTTATGATTTTGTATGACTTAGGCCCATGAAGCTAATTAAAAGCTAACCTACTGGTTTATCAATAATTAAAGGATTTATTAATTAATACCTATTAAATCAGGCCTTTCTAATGCACCTGGGCATCTTTAAAGCTCTACAAACATCGCTTCTTTGATCTTCCAGCACCCCCCCCCCCCCACGAGGAGAACCAGTGGGAAATTTTCTTCTGGGGGAAAGTGAAGCCCAGAGAGATTAAGGGGCGCTGCCTAAGGCCACACAGCGAGTCAGGGAAGGAACCAGAAGCAGGAATCAAGGGCACCTGGCCCATTACTCTACGCTTCTGTCCACATGGGCCCACCAATTAGTGGGAACAGCTCTTACTTACTAATGGCTGGTTAACTTTATGAGTGGAATTATTTTTACAAATGAGCAACAATGGGACTGTCAGGAGGAAGTATAAAACCAAGTCTTGTGCGTCCTACCCAGTGGCTTTTCTTTCCTGTTTTGCTGTACATGATAACAAATACTACTTCTTTATCCTCTTAGAGACCTGGATTCCTCTGGTTTCCTATACAGCAAAGCCTCGCTGCGTTGCAGCGGCTCATGACGGACTACCAACCAACAAGAACCAGGAGTAAGAACGGCCTTAATCATGGGGGCCTGCCTTGAAAACAAAGACTTGGAGAAACTGTCCATGTCATTGACATGGTGTCTGTCACCCTTGAGGGGACCACGGTGGGTACCAGACGTGGTTTGTAGTTTTTGCCCCAGACAGGTGACTCCCAGGTGATGACAGATCCTCCACTCTCACCGTCTAATGTAGAGAACAGGAGCGGAGAGACATTTATCCACGGAGAGCAAACAAGAGCGGCTAATACATACCGCCTTTGAGTCCTTATACTGGGTCCCCTATAAACAGTTCATGAGCAGACCTGGATACTGGATCCTATTAGCAAGTCTGTTGGAATCCCACTTCCTGTGTATCACTGAAGGTTGGCGCAGAAAACAGCTACTGCCCGCCCCCCTGCCCCCACAAGCCCTGTTCCTTGTGGGTGGGGGAAGGCATGGCAGGGCCAAGTGTTTACAGAGTGCCGGAACAGCACATGGGTGGTGGACGAGCTCTTGCAATGATGGGACATAAAGGCCTGACAGGAAGCTCGTTTTAATGGGTCTGATTCTTGACCAGGACTTCAGGGAGCCTGTCTTCCTCCTGTCCCTGAGGCTGAGTCACCAAGCCTCTTAATGACCTCTGAGTAACTTCCTGCTTCTACTGGGGTGAGAGGGGGGCATTGGACAAAAATTCCAGCAGCCATCTGCTCCCATGTCCTCCTTCCACAGATAAAGCAAGCCCAGTGGAGAGAGGTTAGGGGCCAGGCGGAGGTTAAATAAGAAACTGATGTCAAGACTCATCCTGGGACTGGGTTGTCCTGGGCTCTTTCTAACACACCGGGAAGACCTGATCATGAGCAGGAAC